CAAAGATGAGAATAACATTGATATTTTTAATCTAATTTGGTTGCATTTGTTCATTTTGCTCTCGTAAACCGCTAAAGCTGAGAAATAATACAGGAAAATAAATACTTGGTGATTTTCCATGTTTATAACTAAATCCCAGTTGGCTAGAGACTTTAATGTTTTCAGTGGTCCAGGTAAAACTTTTAATTAAAAACCTCAATTTTCTATTTTGCATTGACAAGTGAGCATTTTAAAATGCTTAGCAACTCAGTCCTCTTCTCAGCTGTATAGATCCAAACACAAAAAGAATAGCTGCGGTGCATCTGTCCTGCTGTTAAGCAAGAACTTTCATACCTAAGGCTGTCGAAATAGTCCCCTCAAGAAATACTGATTTTTGCAGTGAAGTCTTATTGGACAGCAATAGAAGAATTCAATGCGTTGAATGTCAGTGAAACAAAACCAGTTTAAAAAAAAAATCATTTTCAGACAGAATTACTGTCTAATCTATGACATGTCTTTTTGAAAACACTTGTACACACCGAAGCAATCTGTGTTGTTACTAAACAATGTGATAAATTTGCCACTCTGTTAGAATGGAATATGAGCTGCTTTCGGCTTCTGCAAACAGAATTGGTTGAACTAACTTCATTCATTGAGCAATAGATACGTATACGTCATACATCACCTGTCATCTTCCTCTGGAAATCGTCTTATTTTATTAGTTTTAGGTTGTTTTTTGGTTTATTTTGTTTTGTTTAGTGGTCAGGAAGGAGTTACTTGGAAAATTTATGATTATATGCAAGACATACAGTTATTCAAAACTCACGTGACAATAATTTTCTCTCGTGTTACAATGCATTAATTTTGTAAGCAAAGGAGTTATGTGCTAACACATAACTGATATACTGAATAACTGCAGTGGAGGTGGGCAGGCTCAGTGAAAGGCACACTTAAAAGGAGATTGACGCATCTACAATATTAATTATCTTTTGTTTTTCACTTAATGCACATTTAATGCTTAAAGTTTCTTCCCGGCTAAGAGAAAGGGAAAGATGTAAGAGAAAATTTTGTGTGTTCAAAACTAATTATGGTCAATTTTCTTGTATCACATCCACGCTAAGTGATTGTACCTGATCTTTGTATTTCTGGTCTTCTGTTGCATTTATCCTTATTGCATCTAAACGCTCTTAGAGTTACGCACCTGTGATGAGATCCCAAAGGGACTTCAAAGGTTCTTTGTTCTTCCTCCTTTCCCCACAGGAGAATCGTAGTTTCATATGCACACACCTGGCTTTGTTTTAATCCTCCTCTTCTCCTTCTCCTTTCATGCCAGCTGAGAAATTACAAAAAGTCTTTCTTTTAAAAAAAGAGAAAGCTCTTGTAATGTATTCGTAGTGTTGTGATGCTCTGGATTAGGCCCTCTCAGGGGAGTGTTGTTTTCAGGGCAGAACCATCTCAGCCTCCAGGAGGTTTTATCCTTGATTCTGTTTGCTCTATGTTGAAGAGGAGATCATAAGCAGACGTAAAATAAGTAGTGCAGCTGTGTCCAGAGAGCGGACAACCCTGCACCAGCTATTGTTACTGGCATCATAATTTAGCTGTATTTCTCTTTTGTGTACACATATATCTGGCTGAAATGTATTTTGGCTAAAAGCTGGAGAGGGACTTTTTACAAGGGCGTGTAGTGACAGGACAAGGGGCAATGGATTTAAACTGAAAGAGGGGAGATTTAGATTGGATATAAGAAAGAAATTTTTCACTCAGAGGATGGTGAGGCACTGGAACAGGTTGCCCAGAGAAGTTGTAGGTGCCCCATCCCTGGCAGTGTTCAAGGCCAGGCTGGATGAGGCTTTGAGCAACCTGGTGCAGTGGAAGGTGTCCCTGCCCATGGCAGGGGGGTTGGAACTAGATGATCTTTGAGGTCCCTTCCAATCCAAACCATTCTGTGATTCTATGATCCTATGATATTTGGTTAAAATGTACCATAAAATAAAGAGGAACATTTAAGTAACCTTCAGTAGGAAGGTTACTGTGTTAAAATTAATATTTACCTGGTTATTAGAACTGTAGTCACTAGAGTTTGTTCTGAATACTGTTTCAGATTTCCATAGTAAAGTTCCATATATTACCATAATCTTCTTGGAGGGGTTTTCAGTTTATAATGGCAGCTACTAACAGAATTGATGAACACAAAAGGAAATGGGTAGCAAAAAACCACCCAGTCAGGATCTGATGTACAGCATGCACTAAGTAGGAGAAATATCATCTGCAATGTCCAGATGGAAATGAGTGTACATAGATGTAGCCATATTTCTTTCTTCCCCGCAAGTGTGCTCATGTATTATTACAAAATTTTCTTGTGGATCAAGTCCTCGACTGTTCTGACTTATCCAGACTTATTTATTTTTTTTTTTTTTTACACACACTGAAGTTCTTTTTGAGAACATAGAAAGATTTCAATTGGAAGTATCAAAAGGGAAATATTGTTGACTCCTGTTTGTAAATTGAGAACCAGATAAATTCTGTAACTTTTTCTTTTATTTTTCATTTTTCACTTTTTTTTTTTTCCTTTTATATTTATCTTTATGGAAACCAGTTTTGGTAAACTAGAAACCCTCACTATTCCAAGATCCCACAGGTTCCGAAATCCCAAACTAGTCCATGACTAGTAGGCTAAGAAAGTTGTATTATACTTTCAGTTTGGCACAAAGACACAGTAATGGCAGGGGATTTCTACTAGTCCAGTCAAACACAATTAATGTGTTGTATAATAATCAAATGATGTCTGACTGAAGCCTCTTTTGGCTTCTTCTTATTTGTACATTTTATTATGTACATATTTGGGCATAGCGAAGAACTTTCCCTCTTGGCAGAGAAAAATCTTTGAAAAAAAATCAAAACCAAATAAACCACAAAGAACAACCAAGAAAGAAAGGTAGTCATTGAGGAACTATTTTAGAAAAGAGTATGAAAGGGGGAAAAAAACCCTCAGATCACTTACTGTGATATATTGGTATTTTTCCCTAGGGAAGGGATAACAGAAGCAAATGCTTTATTTGTCACTGCCCCACACTTCTCTTGTAACTTTTATTTTCTTTGAATGGAAAAGGATTTTTTTGCTTTTTGTTCGTTTTTAACATCATAGTCTTTTGTTTATTTAAAAAGACTATACAAGGTACTGAGTAGTAAAATCAAACTATCTAATTCTACAATTTATTATAGTTGCCAAAGACATACCAAAGGACAGACTTGGAGTTGAAAACAGGAATAGTAAGAATCTTAACTGAAAAGATCTTACCAATTGAAGAGCAAGCCAAAATTTTAACAGACGGAAGAGGGACTAAGATACATTTTTTATCAGTAAAAGAAAGCTGTAAGTATAAAACAAACAGGAATTCATCTAGGGGCTGATTACCAGAAAAAAAAAAAATGCTAATTTTAGTTCTAGAGGGCTTTCTGGTAGAGAAGGTCTGAGGAATTATCTGAACATGTGGTAGTGAAATAGTAATCATAAATATTTGGTGAACTCAGGAGAGACAGGAGTCACCAAGAAAAGGAGATTTTTCCTTGGCAGTATGGTTTCTGAAGTGTTCCTGGTCTTGCATTTTGACTTGCTTAGATATATTTATGAAGCATTACATTTCTTCTGCTGCTGTGGTCTAGAAACGAAGTGAGGAGTGTACCTTAAGTTCAGATTAGGCTACAATTCAGAATTAAATTGTAATTTACCTAAATTAAAATTAATAAAATTGAATTTAATTGAACTTAATTGAAGTCTAGTTGAATTAAAACTGTATATGAATTAAATATTTTTTCTCTTTCTGTGCTTGCACATAAAATGGTAGCTTTATATGTAATTATTTCACATTTTAAAAAACAAGATGTCTTTTATGTCAATGACACAGATTCAGACTCAGCAAAAGGAGGTGTTACTGAAAGACTTTGTATCAATTTCATTCACTTCACCCTGTATTTATTAACCAGGACTTCCGACAGCCCATGCATTGGTACTATTCTCTTGCAAGAGGTAGCAAAACCTTCTTGAGTCCTAAGTTCTGCCAGTTCTGCCATCTGAGATGTTGGTTTTTTTCTGCCAGAATGTGTAAACTACAAAAGAACCTAATTCTGATCCACGGACATGCATAGTTAATTAATTTCATTAATTGATAATAACATATTTATTTGCACTTTCGGCTTTATAAACTAGATTTCAATAGCCATCATGTAGCTGTAAAAGGGTATATTTTTAAAACTGAAAAATCTTGCATTGAAAAGGTATTATCTGCACCAGTGGAAAAAATATCAACATACTAAACGGTTGCATTGTCAGGGAAATTTTTTAAATCGATTTTAATCTAATCAGTATGGATGGTATTTAGGTAAATTGTTCATAATAGTTAATTCTCGATAAATATTATAGTCTGTGTACTTGGGAGGAGGTAATGTATACATGTGCTTAATTCTTTCTATAAATATTCAAAGCAAAGAGTTATGGAGGCTTTCAAAAAGGACTCTGGCTGGAAAGGTTTGGTTTTTTTGTAACATGAGTCACATCAGTGGCAAAGACAGGCTCTCACCTGTCTCCTGTTGAGCTGATACAAACTTCCATCTATGTGCATGTCACAATACTATCTTCCTATCCATCCTAAAACACTCGATATTACCACTCTGGGAGTCCCTGTGTCATGTTAAGCACCTTGAAAAGGGCATGCCTTAGGAAAGTCTCAGGTGGAGCAAGAAAAGCATCACTACAGTTGTCACTTCAGCTCAGCATGAACACATCTTAAGAGTAAAATATTCATAGAATCATAGAATCATAGAATCGTTAGGGCTGGAAGGGACCTTCAAAGGTCATCTAGTCCAACCCCCATTCTATGGCTTCGGCTTTTCCACAGTTTCTGTTAAAATCTTGAGTCACTCTCTTCTCTTTACCTGCACCTCCTGTGTTCAACACACACAAAAGTGTATCAAGGTTACTACTTTTGTGTAAGAAAAAAGAATCCCACAGCATTTCTTTTTAATAACTGTTCAGCTACAAAATTTTATTGGTATCCTTCTATGTTCCCTCTAGAGGATGTAATGCACAAAAGCATTGCCACGGAACATATAAAATTACAAATGAAATTTATTGTAAAAAGTAGAATGTCTTCTAGACTGGTGTCAGTATTTATTTCATTCATAAACCAAAACTGCAGGTATAATATATTCATTGTCAGCAAGTTCATGTGTGTAAATTGCCATCCAACAGTATTGACTGATATAAGACAGATATTGAAAAGACAATTTAAATTTACTCTTCCAAACATAAACTGTTCCACAAAAGCACTGTAAAAACTCCTTCAAGGTTTTGTGTTGTGCTTCACATTTATGGTTAACTACATAATTTGGTTGTGTCGTAATCCACTGTGTTTGGCAATTTGGCATTAAAGGCCTGCAAAGCAGATTGGATCCTCACCACTTCACTGGTAGACAGTTTGAGTCTATGACGGAGCAAGCAAGAGAAGAGATCTAGACGACGTTGACCAGGTGGAGAGAGTTTATTTACACGATCCCGTATCTCTAACAACTGCAAAAGTGCTGAGTCCTGTGATCCCTGAGTATAGGGGTAGTCCAGCTGCAAAATCAAGTCTCGAATTGCTTCTGGGTCAAAGTGCATGCTGTAGCCAAACACTTGGATGTTATTGATTTTCATGTAGCCCAGATTTCTTGAGGGATCAATAAATTCCAGGGGTTCGTAGTAGATGCTTTCATTGCCATTTGGACCATTCGACTTTATTCGACTCCTCAAATAGATGTGTACAGTTTCAAAAAATGTCTTCCACTTGTTGCCTAGAGTCAGCGTCCAGTTATAACACTGAAGGGGTAAGTCCAGTTTAGTCCGCTCCCAGTCTGGGAAATTATTTTCATTCACAGGCATAAACCAGCTCTCAGAGTGGCTTCCCCCAAACGGGTTGACGTAAACAGCAAGAACGGGCTCTAAGGTGCTGTTTTTAGTTAGGCAAATTTGAAGAGAGAGGCCCAGTATCATATGGACCAGGCTGGACTTGTACTTGTTACTCTTGAGCGTAAGGAGCATCCGCTTGCGCCAAGAAGGATCAAACCAGCTGTTGAGGCGCATGTCGTTGCTGATGAAAATGGCGTGGACCTCAATTCTCCGGTCTGTCTTCTGCAATAAATACTTCATTTCCAGGTCCTGAAGGTCCGTCTCGAACCCAATGTAGTGCTCGGTTGATTCGGCCACTTCAGGCTTGCAAAGCCCCTGGCTCAGCATGTAGCCGGCGTTGCAGCTCCCGCAGCGGGTGCGATTGTCAGGAGCGCAGCTCGAGCACGCAGACCCATCTCCAACCGTGCAGGGAAGGAACCCGTGGCAGGCAACCTGATCGTTAGGGCAGGTACATGTGTGAGTCTCTTCAGAAAAGCTTCCCAGGAGGCCGTTTTCATTGCAGTAGAGAAAGGACTGGATGCGGTTGAGCCAGTAGTTGGAAGATCTGCAATGATAAAATAACTTATTTTAACACAAAGAGAGGCCTGCACACAATAGAATCAGAGAATCACAGAATGGTTTGGGTTGGAAGGGACCTCAAAGATCATCTAGTTCCAACTCCCCTGCCATGGGCAGGGACACCTTCCACTGCACCAGGTTGCTCAAAGTCTCATCCAACCTGGCCTTGAACACTTCCAGGGATGGGGCATCTACAACTTCTCTGGGCAACCTGTGCCAGTGCCTCACCACCCTCAAAGTGGAAAATTTCTTCCTTATATCCAATAGAAATCTGCCCTCTTTCAGTTTAAATCCATTGCCCCGTGTCCTATCACTACACGCCCTTGTAAAAAGTTCCTTTCCAATAGATACAACCTTGTTATTTTTTGTCAGAAAGAGAAAGATAAAGCAGGTTTTAGTAGCAGATTAAGGCACTGGAGTCAGATGGCAGCACCTGCTGTCAGATAAATACGTGTATAAATCGCCTTTTAACAATGCAAATTCACAAAAGGAAAGTTTCCTTACAGACTCACAGGCACAGCAATAGCATTTGGTTCACGCGTTTGCTCTCGCTGTATCTCCGACAAGGAAGCCTGACAAAGAGTCATTTTTCTGTAATTGTCTTCAGACTCACCTCTTGCAATCCTGTGCAGCTGAGACTTTTTCCCTCATGCTATTTGATCAGGGAGGTGCTTTGTACTTATCTAAGTCTATATAACTCTGTACCATCTTTCTGTTTCATCACGAAGATTTTTGTAAGCTTGCAAGCTTTCTTGTTACTGGCTGGAGCTGCTTTGATTTATAGACAGTGAGCCAAAATACTTTCCTGGAATAGCAAACAGGACCCTGCACCCCAAAATAGATTCAGTCTTAATTCTCCAGTCGATTTCCAGCACAACAATACCCCCCCAGGAAGCCATGCATGAGCATGCTGTGTTTGCATTTCATCTGTGGAGATGAAACTAAAAGATCACTTCAGTGTCATTCTTGTCACCTCGTTTTGGTTCCATTAGAAGCAACAGTTAATGTCCTACATCACACTGGGAAAACAGACGCTGAAACCAACCATTTAGGCTGATGAGGCAGAGGTGCTAGAAGACAGACAATGGGAACAACGGAGTTCCATGGGAGTAGTCAAGAGAAAAATTATCTTCTTTCTTTGGCTGTATTTTGCAGCTCTTATTAATCCTAGCAATGTACAGTTTAAAGAACTTGTTTTGGCTGCTGCAGAGTCAGATCTATGGTCTCCACGTGAGCGACAATGGTTGTACGATTTCTTTCCTTTTCATTGCATTTTTTCAAAGAGAAAATGCAAGAACCTCATTCACTGCTGACTTACTTTCTCAGTCACATTTGAATTTCTCTCAAGCATTGAGTAGTTCAGAAATCTTTATTTATGTGGGTTTTTTTCCTGTCTATAAAATAAATGCTAAAACTAAAAATCTATGCCATCTCAAAGTCTGATTCTTTAGAAACACGAAAATTAAGATCAGTAAAATGACATTGTATACTCTGGTGACTTTGTTCAATCTTTTGTTTTCCCTTTCTCTCTCTTTTTTTTTTTTGTTGGGGGAGAGAATCGTGGTTGTTTTCAGTTGTTGAGGTTTTTTTATATGCATAATCTCCTAGTATTTTCTTAAAATGTAAGTAAATATAAAAGCAAAAGTATTTTGGCAAGTTTACCTAATTTCCTGATTAAAAACCATAATGTCCATTCTACAAGCAAGGTCAATGTCACGATATAAAAGTTACTCCAAAACTGAATGGAACGTTAAAACTATTTCTCTCCCAGATGTAATGGGAAGTTCCTGCCTACTTTTTCTGGGAAGTTTTGACCGTGATCTGTACCTACTGAGCTTGCCCTGGCAGCTCACAGGAGCTGCGGCTCAGGTGTGTGGTGACCCTTCTTCCCATTATGGGATGATCTTTGCAGCAGGCTGTGTCTCACATGGTCTGTCTTATCGTTATTAGACCTATGACGCATCACAGCAATCAAACCTGAGAAGATCCTTGTCCAAAGGAGTGAAACTAACCTTTCAAAGGTCTCTCATTACACCTTTTTCCCAACTCCTTATGGCTCTCTATGCTTACTTAAGAACTGAGACCGAGTTCCAAAAGCTGCTGAATGTAGGATATAAAAGTCTGATGGTCTTACTTTCCTTTAGATCTTTGTGTTATGCCATTTGCTTTGCAATAGCTTTCATAAAGTCGTTACCTTATTTTGATTTGTTCTCTTGGACAGATAACTGGGCAGATTTCAAGAATATGTTGTTTGATTTTAATCTCCAAGTTTTCTGCTTTTACCCTTACTCCCAGTTGGTATGACAGGACTACTGTATCAAGGGTAAGCACTTTCAACAGCTCATACTGATTTGATTTGTAAATGTGAAGTTTAGCATCCTCTTCCACTTCTCTTTTAAAGAGAAGTCCATGCCTTTGAAAAGTTTTGTTATATATTAGGAGTATATTTCCAGAAAATCTGATTTTGCATAGACCAACTCTGAGTTTACAGCTGTGGTTTTGAATTCATCTCGGCAGAGGATAAACATGCGAAGACTTACTGTAAAGATTTTCTGTGCATCTCAGAGTGTCAACCTAGAGACTAAATCTGCTTGGCTCACTCACACGAAACATCAACTGTGCTATATAGTCTGTATCACCTAAGGATGTGTTTACATGATGTATTCTAGGCAGAAAAAAGCTAACTGTGCCTGAGCTCCAAAGCCAAGCAGAGCCACATGACCATGTTAGTTTTTCAGCGGAGATTAGCATCTTGGATTTGGCATTGTGCTAGTATGGACAAGAAACTTCTGTATGACTTGGAGGCTAAGCATTCATCCTGGCTCGGAGCTCAGGCACAGTTAGCTTTAAACTACCCACCAGCTAGGAATTCTTGGAGCTTAATTTTACATACTGTCTCATAGATTTTAATGAGTGCTTTGCTGAATATTGCTTTATTGAGCTGTATTGGGTGTCACTGGCAAGGTTTTTTAATATGTTGTATTACTACTTATTATTTTCCTTATTATTTGGCATTGAAATAAGCCAAAGAATGTTCTGCACGTTTTTTTTTTTTCATATTGAGAAGTTTCTGGAAAAGAAAGGTATTGCTCTTCTAGTGGATACACCTGAGCATGGTTAGATGTGACAAGTATCTGGAATGCAGGGTGCACCAGGCAAAGAAAGAAAGGAAGCTGTGGCACTACTGGAGACTGATGAAGAGAAGGAAGCTGGGAAAGCAGGGAAGGAATTCTCTAGGTCAACAGAGGTGATAGGAAGAGGGAGATCTGGTGAGGAAGATGGCACTGTTGGAAAGGGAGAATTTTCTGTTGTTGAAAAAAGCTATACACACCAGCAAAATTAATTTACTGGCAAGGGATGATTTGATTTGGGTTACTCACTTCTTCAACCACATAGTCCTTAAAGTATTTTTTTCCTTATTAACTATCTATTCTACTGTTTCCATTGTTATGAGAATCAAAATCTCTAATGTCACTTTTTTGTTCTTTTTATTTTTAATGAGCTTACCTTCCTTCTTTTTTTTTTCTTAAGGGACAGAAGAAGCAGTCCAAAAGTGTGTGAAATTACATAGCTGTGCAATTAAGCAAGTTTCCTTTCTGAAAATTGGTTACCAATTTATAACTTAGTATTTAGCTTATTAAAACAACTATATTTTGACCATTAGCAGTTGCAAGGAGACCAAGAACTTTAGAGGGAAGATTTTCTTATTCCAAACAAAGTTCAAAACAATAACTTGCTATTTTTTTTACCTTATTTTAACTTTAACTTTTTAACTTTTAACCTGACTCTTTAACCTGATTTTAACCACAGAGATTTCAAGAAGCTCTACTTACACTTGTTTGTCTTCAGTCAGTTTACAAGTGTATATCCTTTTTTAAAAAACGAAATCAACTGCCTTACTTGACTGCTTTTTTTAAAGTTGTCATTAAGGAATACTGTTACTCAGTAAATTTATTGCTTTCACTCAAGTAAATTAAGTAAATTAAGTGAAAGCACATAAAATGTCAGCAATATCTACTTTATTTAAGCCACTTATCCTTAATTAGATAAATTCACACTGGAATGTCATTCTGAAAGCTTTCTTTTTCTTGTAGAAAAAAAAAAGATCATTTAAAATTCTGGACTCTGCAGTCAAGGGGAAAGGCTTGGTTAGAAGCAGATGCCTTCCACAGGTCAACACATGGCTGAACAGCTGCTGCAGTCAGATAGGCAGGGTTCAGGCTTTTACAGCCACTGGATCCTCTTTGAGGTTGGATGGCAGTTGGGGAGAACTAGGATCTAACAGAAGATGATGGGTGACGTCTTAAGCAACAGGCTTGCTGATCCTGAGAGAAGGGCTTCAAGCAATGCTAGCTTAGGGCTGGAGCCAAAATGAAGACTAGGGAAAAAAGCATCTGGGAAATACACTCCCACCAGAAAGCAGTACAACTAGGGACTCATCTCAAGTGCCTAGACAGATGCAAACAGTGTGGGAAACAGGCAGAAGACATGGGCACAGTTGCAATGCTATGACTTCATTGGCATCACAGAGGTGTGGTGGGATTAGCCTATGGTGCTTGTGATGGATGAACAGACACCCTTTAGTGAGAACAGGTGGGCAGAGGAGATAGCTGCACTCTACACAAAGGAGTACTTTGAACTAAAACTTTACTATTGAACGAGCCATGATCTGGCCAAGATCCTAATGGCTGGGATCAGAGGAGAGCCCAGTAATAGAGAGACTGTCATCAGAATCTGCTACAGACCAGAAGATCAAGAAAAGCAAGTGAATGAAACCTTCCTTAACCAACCTGAGGAAGCAACATGACCACAGGCCCTAATGTTCATGGGGGACTTCAACCATTCCAGCAGCAATGTTGGTGATGGGGTAATATGACAGGATACAAACAATCTTGGAGGGCAATGAAATGCATCGAGGATAATTTTTTTATGCAGGTATTGAAGGAGCTGAATAGGGAAAATGCTCCACTGGAGCTGCTACTCACAAATAGGGAAGAACTGTTTAAAGATGTGAAAGCTGATGGCAGCTTTGGCTACACTGATTGCAGGATGGTCAAACCAAAACTACTAGAGGAAGCGAGGGAGGTAAGTAACAGAATAGTTATCCTGGTCTTCAGGAGAACAGCCTTTATCTTGTTCAGAGAATTAGTAGATTGAGTACCAGCTGAGGCTACCTAAAAGGTAAAACAGTCCAGGTGATGTGGTTGGTCTTCAAGAATGATGTCCTTATAGCACAATAGTCCTTTTGGATGTGCAGGAAGTTGAGCAGGCACAGTAGGAGGCTGGCTTGGATGCACAGGGAACTCCTGTCTGAGCTCAAATACCAAGAAATCTACCTAAATCAACAGTTCTTAAAGTCTCCTTGGGAGGACTACAGAAACATGGCCTGGACATACAGTGATTAAAACACATGACATTTCAAAACCCAGCCTGTTTTGTAATGAATGAGCAATGTGAATGATAAGAAGGACTTCTAAATGTACGTTTTCAGCAAGAGTCAGACCAAGGAAAACAGAGGCCTGCTGCTGAGAAAGAAGCCCTGGTAACAGAAATGACTAATATATTTAGTGTCTTTGCCTTGCTTTTA